TATTTTGGCAAAACCTCTAAAATGTGGTTATTTTGTGGCAAAGGGTTGTGTAAAACGGTTATTTTTATAAATTTCCCTTTTTTTATTATTTTCGCATAGGGCATCAAAAATCTTAAGACCGGCCCTGATAAGAAGTTGAAATCACTCGATCTTAGGGGTGTTTGGGATTGCTTATTTGAAACAACTTATGTTTTTCTAGAAAAGTCATTATCAACTTATCATAAGTTAGAATGATTTAACTTCTTCAAAAACTCATTATTACCGGTTTGGCACCGGTATAAGTCGTTTATCCAAACACTCAAAAGTGCTTATTACCGATGCCACACAGGAATAAGTCAATAAGTTGTTTTTAAAAACAATCCCAAACACCCTCTTATTCCAATGTATATGAATTCAATGAACAGTAAGTTGGTGTTTGTTTCATGGATTTGGATGGAATTGAAAGGAATTGGAATAGCCAAATCATTTGACCAAATTCTAAATACAATGTTTAGTTTATGAAATAAAACTGATGGAATCCTTTCAATTCCAATAAATTCCTTCACTCACAGATTTTACATTCCACGACAATACCCTTGGATTTCAATTCCTTTCTGACAAATTCCTTCCCTAATCCAAATTCATTCAACGTTGCGTCTACCATCTCATCTAATTGATCTCTGGTTCGATCTCCATCTGGTACGCTCTCGCTCTCTCTCGTAATTTCTCCATCTATACGAGATCGATAGACAACATATGTAATCAATGAATCGATTCAAGATAACTAGCTATCGATCCAATTCCCGTTATTCAAACATCATAAAAAGGCCATTTGTTGATATATTTAATTCCGAATTCCAAAGTTGAATTCCGTGAACCAAACAAAAAAAATCCAATCCGTGAAGAATTTCATTCCAATTCCATGCAACCAAACACAATCACAAGGCATTGATCAAATTCATCAAAATTCCCTCAAAGTTAAATTCATTTGATGAATTCTAATTCCATCGAATTTCATTCTACGAACCAAACACCCCTAAGTTTATTGAAATTAATATATAAAATTTAATTTACGGTTTAAAATTTGACAAATCACATTTCGCACCATATTGTTTATTTTTTGGTATAAGACGTATAAAGTTTAGCTTAAGATTTAAAAAACTCGAATTAATATATAAGATTTAAGTTACAGTTTAAAATCTAAAGTGCAATACATATAAAGTTTCTTTAAAACCACAAAGGTGATGTCTGATTTGTTTGAATTTGTGCTCCAAATGTCAAAAGTGCCTGGAGATCCCAAATTCAAATCGAAGTAGAATTAAAAATCTATTTGTAACCACGGATATTCAAATACGATGATTCCAAACTACCCGTGAAATAGGTGGTTGTTATGTAAAATTGTAACCAACAAATCTAATCTGCTAAAAAAGTGGTTGGAGTAAAGGGATAAGGGAGAATATGCGGGAAGCAGATTGGTATTGGATTCATCAGAAACAACGACCCCACATACGCTAATGCTACGTTGTTCTGCTGCCTCAACCGACATCGTTTTGCCCGTCCCTTCCTTTCTCCAGCAGCCAGCCTGTCTCCATTTATTTTCCCACCAATTTCAAATCTCTTTTTATTTATTTATAATTTTCAAAATAACTATACTATATTATAAAACATTTGATAAAACTCTTAAAAACTATTTTTTATACGTAAAGTACTGTTTATTAATGTATATTACTTAAAACTCAAGATTGCAAGTAGATTGTGCATAAATACAACTTATTAAAGTTCTATATATGAATTTGTGTAACTAACTGTAGATAACATAATCAAATACATGATAAATATCTAATTTTAAAATAAAAAAATCTAAAATATAATTAGGATAATTATCGAGTTCTAACAAAATAATTAATTCTTAGCATTATAAGAAAATTATATTATTAAACCAAATATAAATTACTTCGTTATTGAACCTAAATTAAATTATAATAAAAAAATTGAATAAAAAAATTACATAAAAAATAGGAATTTTAAATAGTTAATTTGATACTAATATCGATATATTTTTGTCAAATTTTTATGGTATCTTCAAATTTATATTTTATTCAAAAATAAAAAGATCATCATTTTTTTAAAATCACATAAGATCACATTAAACATCGACTGAGATAAAGAATAAAATGAAATATTAAACTCAAGATGTATCTCGCTGCATTGCACGGATACCCTTTTAGTAATTTTCAAAAAATAAGTATAATATATGAAATAGATTTATAAAATCAGATTAGTGGAGTAGGGGAAGATTTAAAGATACGGATAGGTTATTATGATGATAATCAAATGAAAACAATAAAAATGTTACAAACTTGTGATAATTAAATATAAAAATATTATTTTATGTTTTTTTTTATCAAAAACTATGATTTTAGCTACTGTTTCACATATTATCTGTTCATATGGTGAAAAAAATGTGAAACCTTTATTTTGATTCACTTAGTGAAATGAAAAATATACGAAAAAATTTCATAACATGAAACACATACATGTGAAACTATTATATTCTGAAACAAATGTATGTGAAACGCAAATTAAACGGAAAAATTCCATGTCACTATTTTTTGAAATATTTTCTATTTGATTCGTTTATATTATTAATTTTAGGAATCAATATATTAACATATA